AAATAGAGCAAAAATTACAACGGCCACGGTCTGAAAGAGGCAAAAAACTTGCAACGACTCAAAACAGTGACCATGGCATAACGGAAAGCCTCTCGGCCCTATGATATTTACTCCTGCCTCAAGAACTGTCATGTCCAGGATGCCCTTGATAATGTGTAAACCGTCGTGCTGGTCAACCTCTGCCTCTTCTTCCAGGAGCTAAACGCTCCATTGCTGTTCTATCCAACCCAGTATGACAGTTAAAACGGCCGAAGTATTTCATTCAACTAACGTTGTTGGCATCCTTCCGTCCTTAGAGGCGACAGTGTTATATAGTGCACTGTGAGGAGGGATGGTAATCGTATTTTATGGCGATGTCAAGACCTGCGCTTGTTCAGAAAATCTACCACAACAACAGCATGGAATTTCAGGACCATTGTTGCCATCACGTATACTTAAGTGTGCCTCTTCTCAGACACACGCTCAGCTCTTCCTTCATTCTCGTTCCCAGTACAAATAACATTTTCCGCCGCAAACACTTTATGTCGCGCGAGATGTGTTGGACTTTCATTCATGCTTCATGACCTTTATCATGTGCTGGTTTATGTTACAGGTATGTCACGTTGTGTTGTCTTCGATGCTCTTAGCCTTCCAAATTGCGCGTCGTCAGCGGCCAGCAACACGTGGTATTTTACTCGTTGTCGGCGATATTACGTGTTCTATATTCCACAATGTGAGAGCTTTTAACAACCCAAAATTTTTTAGAATTGGCCCTAACAGCAACCCCCCCCCCCTTTCCACCTACGTCCAATGAGGGAGTGCAGCCCCATGACTGTATGCAGCCTATAATATCTGCAATGTTGCCAACAACCAGTGAAAGATAACGCGTTGCTCATGATGCGCAATGTCGAAAGCTGAGAGCATCAAAGGCAACACCCATGTAATATAGATAAGCGCGTGGGAAAGCACACCAAGCATGAACAAAAGGCCAACACATCTTGCGCGATGACGTAAAGTGTTCATTGCCACACATGAAACTTATCTGAACTCCTGTTCCTTTCCTGACCCCGCCTCCCCCCAGCCCCCTTTTTTTTTTCTCCACGGCCCTTGGCCATTTGTTCCCATGAATATATTTCAATAAATTACAAGAAACGATTACTGTTCATAAGCCATTCCCACCGATTATCAGATAGTCACGAATGTCAGTATATCTCCTTTTCTAGGTCTTTGATACTCTAAACAACTTCTGTAACAATTAACTTCAGAGGCCCTGACAATATTCTTTCCCTATTGGTTTTGACAAAGTTCACGCATGTCATTAAGCAATATCACTGCAAATTAAAGCATTCATGGGGAAAAAATTCATTTATTTCTTTGCGTGGTGTTTTCTTCTCTCTGCCTTTTTTTTTTTTTTTACTTGATGTTTTGGGTTCCAGTTCCTATACTATCTTGTTATACTGTTATCATGTTTTAACAACGTATGTCTTATCCAATGCAACATCTTCTCCACCTTAAATAACTTGATTCTCCCAAAGCTCCACATTAGTAATTTCGTCCTATTTAAATCCTCTATACTGAGCAGGCTACAGTTAATGAATGTTTGTAGTTTATTAACAATTTCAGCTCCCTACATCAGTACATCTTCTTTTGTTCGCTTGAAATAGATTATCTATGTCTGCATTGTTGTACGAACTTCCCTGTATTGTATAGTTCACTCAGCGACCCGTGAAGTTTGGCTTGCACCAGTGTTTCTCTTAGCCAAAAGTTTTGACTTGATATATTGTATCTGGGAGGCTTAGAGGACAGGATCTGTTGTCTCAGGTACCAGTCAACATTTGCACATGGCTGATTCGCCGATTTTAAATTGTGTGTAAATGTGGCTGCGAAGTGGATTGTAGCCTGTTCTAAGGCGTAGAATAATAACTTGCTCTGGTCTGTCCATAATATGGTAATCGTCTTGTGCCAGTTTTGGTGGCTTTTTGATTATTCTTTTTTTCCTTTGATAAAGAGACTGGTACGTCATGTTGTTCTACATCAGCTTTTTCATGTCCATGAACTCCACAGTGGGATGGTAACTATTGCCTAGTTACCTTACACCGGTTGCTTAGTTTAGAGAGTAGTGTTTGTATACCAGGTAATTTTCCAGACTGGAGTGCCTGAAGTACCGCTCGTTCGTCTGTTAGGAATACCACGGGTTGTGAAATATGACGTACGACAGTATTCTGGCTGCATATCCGGTATTATTTGGATGCTATATGTATATTCCTGCTCCTCTATTTCTGCTTGCGTTTTGTACTGACCCATCCGTGTAGACACAAACCTAAAAATCCTATGGATATTCACTATCAAGTAGAGCGATGGTGGCTGTTTTACGTTGAACACTGTTTTGTTCTTCCCTGTTGAATACTCCTTTCACTTCTGTCTGGATGTGTAGTGGCAACTTATAATCCTCTTTCCAAGGGGTCCGATCTGGAACAGCATTTAAGGGGCTATCAGTTGCAGGCAGATCATTGGTTTGCCTGCAGTCTTTGGGCCTGGTGGATGAAACTGATTCTTTTTTAGTCGCCCCATTGCTGGATTTTGGAATCTTTCTTTCACAAAATGTTTATGCACGCTAATAAACTTTTCTGCTTGTATTAGCATCTTGGTGTCTCTTATTCTGTCAGTGTTTGTGTCGTTGTCATCTTCTCAGCTATAGATGTTGATTTCGTCCTTCCTGTTATGACTCTGTGTGCTTAATTTTGTCCAACATTTGTATGGTGGTTTCTGATGCTGATCCCCAAACAACTGACTCGTTTTTGAGGTGTAGTCGTACATTTTGTTGATAAACCTTCCTAGGTATTTTCCCATTTGCGCCCCATGTTGTGATGTTGTGGCTTCTGGCTTTGGTTGCTGCCTTGTTGATCAACACTGCTTAGCTTGGTATGATTATTTTCTTCAAGTAGAGGGTTAAACTGTTTTAAAGAGGTGTTAAAATGTTTTAAAGAGGTGTTAAAATGTTTTAAAGGTGTTAAAATGTTTTAAAGGTGTTAAAATTATTCAAAGAGGGGTTACATTTTTAAAGAGACAATCTAAACATTTTAATGTGAATGTTCCAATCATTTCTATCATCAAAATAGTTTGTTTTTTTACACATATTTTTTTATGCAAACATAGAGCAATACAGAACAACCACCAGCATGTATGAGGAAAATAGAATCCAAATCAATGCAGCCATTAGAACCCACTGGAATACAATCTTAGAAACACATAAACAAAAACAGGCTGTTGTATTAAGATTGTGAAATGGACACAACAGAGTTTGCTGCCATTTGTACAAGTATTTTAAGGGTGTTGACCAAGAACTCTGCCTATGTGCACAAGCACCATAAAACACTGGAAATTTACTGCAGACCCGCTCTCTTAATGCATAAACAAACAGAAGGGGAACCATTGACGCCGTAGAAATATTGTATATATATAAAATTAACAAAAAGACAAGGTATTCGTATATTTTGTTTGTCCAGTGTATCCTTTTAGGAATGCTGATTAATATATTGTCTGTTTGTTTTTTATATACACAATATCTCTAAATGCAGTAGGAAGATCCCACGTCTGGCCAGTTGACTTTCCAGTGGAAACAGCTGTATAATTTGGTGGACGACATGCACCATACCACAACCTTCATAGAGGCCTGTGTCTTTCTCATCTGAAAATCACTGATAGGACAAATGAAAAGAAGAAGTATACCTCTTAATCCGTTCAGCCCAAATTCCTTTAAAAAAAAAGGGCCACATACCAATGAGAACTCCTAGTTAAAATTCTTATATACCAACTCTGCTTTTACAGAAAAAAGTAGCTATTTGGGTCATAAGGAAACCCCCAAAAATGCAACTGCAGTTACTATTTCCTGGCCTATTAACAATTAGCTGACTAGCAATCCAGTGCACTACTGTCTCTTATTACAAAGGGTGTTTGCAGATTTATTTCAAAATTAATGATTTTCTAATAAAATTCATTTAAAAAAAAATAATTAAATACAATTGTAGTGTTTTGAAACCTTCAGAGCACCATTATGAATGGCTGCTACACATAAAAAATATATGTTGTGTCCACATGTCAAATGATCATGACGGTCATCTTGAATTTGTTTGGTTATTTATAGAAATTATAGTAGATGTTATAAAACCATCTTCTTCTTCCAGTTTTTAGCTAATTTAAAACACAATTTTATTGCAATCTAAAGGCCTATGAGATTTGAACTGCATCTGTATGATCCCAAGTAAGATTTTCCTACATGACATTTTCTGTGTATCGAAATAGGTGAGTTTTATAATATCTACTGACTTTACAGATCTATGACAGTGTTAGTGGCAAAATAAGCTTGAAAAAAATAATCAGTAGGCAAACACCCAAATGTGTCCGACATGACACTGTGTTGGTCTTCGTATAGAGAAAACTTGTCAAGCTCAGCAAGTCCATTTTGAACAGGATTTCTCCATTCCCAAACAGCATTTTCAGCGATAGACCTTAGTCTCTTGTGCCACCCCCAGTTCTTTATTTTACATGTACCTACATGACTTCCGTCATCAAGTCCATCATCAAATAACTTCTGTGAAACAAACTAAACTAAATTACTGTTTTACTTTCTCAATTTTAATTTGTTCCATATACATCATGCTTCTATTACAGACATTTGCATTAGATCTAAATTCAAAAATGAAAGAAAGATGAAGAAAACAAAAGAAAGATGAAGAAAACAATGAGTTTACATCTGTGTAATTTTTTATATGTAAAGTTAGACGTGCTGAACTCATAAGTGATCTTTCAATGGCATGTTTGCTAACAGAATTTTATTCTATAAATTGCAGTACTGTTGTAAAGAGAAGATCCAAACATTCTTATGTGAATGTTCTATTTTTTTTTAACCACCAACAAGTTTTTGTAAAATTAGTGCAAATTATAACGGAAAGATCCAAAAATCCAAATGTGGCTGTTCATTCATTGTTTTACTGAAAGATTGCATAAAACTAAAGCAATAATTATCCGGATGCAGGCTTGTCGCTTATTTGTCCCTGACCTTTGTTAACCTCACTAATGCACACCCACTGTCCTTCGAGATTTTCCTTCCACAGTGTTACCTGAAATAAATATGTAAACAAATATTATATTAACCCACACTGAACTCAGTCAAGGTAGGTGTGTAAAACAAAAGTAGAATCTTGAAAGTTAACACTGTGAAAATAAACTACAAAATATCTCAAATTGGATTGGGGGGGGGGGGTTAACCATACCAGAAAATTAAAACGTATCTTAAATTGTGAGTAACTTACAAATGGACTTGAACCTGCAAGAAAGTTTAAAACATACCTCAAACTTTAACATTTTTGTAATGTGTCTCAAGCTGTGAGAAAGTTATAAATGTACCCCAAAGTGTGAGACAGTTGTAAAATATGTACTTGACACTGTCAGATGGTTTAAAAATTTTTTATTTCAAATGGTCAGAAAGTTAAACTATATGAAAGCTATGACTCCTCTGAGCACTAGTAATTAGTTCATTTATATATGGTTTTGGGGCATGCTCTTTGAATGAGATCTTTCCAAACAATTCTTGGCATATGATACAGAGACCACATCACAGATGACAAGGTGTGCCAAATAATTACCTAGCACACTGTCAACTATGAACTTCTAACTACAGTGAAAAGATGGCACATGCAATGGTAGAGACAGGTGATAAGATCTAAAGGCCTCTCAAAAACAATTTTGCAGGGCTCAGTAGGGGGAAGAGGCAGACCAAGAAAGACTTCGTAATAAAAAATGAGACTTGACAGGTCTTAGGCATGCAACAATGAAGTCCACTGCATCTCGCCGTCAAAGGTGGAAGAAGCTGATCAGACAGTCAACAGCAGTTAGTGACACTACACACAATGTTATAGAATGATGACATCTCCCAATGAAGATATGATAAAGATCAAATCACATACCTAACAGTAGTGAAAGATGCTGCCTTAATGGTTTTTACAGAGACATAAATTACTGACCTTGTTATCGCCACCAGATACCGCTAAAATGTTGCCAGAAGTGTTCCAACTCAAATGCCAGACAACATCCTCAAATTTATGCAAGGTCTTTGAATTCCATGTGTTGCTGACCCCATCATTGGTCCAGATGATGACTCTGCAGTCCTGAAGAAGAAAAAGGTCTAATGTAATGTGAAGTTAATAATCAAGAATCCCATTAACTACAACAGTTAACACATATTTATAATTTATTTACTCTTTCAGCTCCATATTTTGTCACAACGTATGGGGATAAGTTCTTTAGTCTGCAAATAATCCTTACTATCTATTAAATCACTCAATCCATAAGTGCTTAGTATGTCCTTTAGTCTGTAGTGACTGACAGCATCAGTTCTGTGTTAGTTTACTCCTACTGTTCTTTTACTCCCTGCATAGGACTCTAGAGTGGCCTCAACAATTTTAACCTGCTGTTTCTGCAGTCTGGTCATGGCTGGAAATTCACATCCATCACTTGAGTAAAGCAAATAACCAATGTCAACTATGCATGCTGTACTCTCATAGAAGTGATCACAGGTGAGGTAAGAATTTTTTTCTAATGATCTAACTAAATGGGGGAAAAAGTAAAAAACACTGATAAATGACAGTTGGAATTCATAGGGAAGGCAAAGTATACATTACCTTTTACTTAAAGACATTCTACATCGACAGAGAATGATAATAGCCAGTGCTGCCTGTTAAGCAACAGATTGCAATTTTTTTCTTTTCCACAACGGCAAAAGTGGAAACTGACTATGATGATGATGACGACCCAATGATTTTGGATGCAAGAGTTAAAAAAATCTAAAAGATGTCAATTCTTATCCATGTAAAATCACTATCGATCAACAAAGCCCCATGGAAAGCAATTTCTTGAGTATCATTCAAGTATGTTTTCTAATGAACGTCTGCTTGGTCTCCCAGTTTTTTGTTGTTTCACAAAAGATTATGTGAGGAGCCTTGCTATGTGCTTTAATTATGGTTTTATTTATGACCTCAGATATTTCATCAGGCTAGTACGACTAAACCCAGGACTGTATCATGAACATGTAGCAGATTTAGTGGGTAATAATGTGAAAGCAGTAAAGATATGTTTTAATTAAAAAATTATGCTTGTTAATTGTTATTCACCTATCTACGGGGTGGGGTGGGGGGTTGAGCGGTCTCGAGGTAAAGTGTCCACCTCGAGCGCTGGAGGTCCCTGTCCCGGGTTCAAGTCCCAGTGAAGGCTAGGATTGTTTAACGTGGACTTCTTGTAATTTCCCCTGGTCTCTGTGTAGTAAGATCGGACACCTGTGTGTATTCTTGTGTACGTATGAAAAATCCCTTGGCGGTTAGAAATAGAAAAAAATAGCCTAACGGCACTACCTTGGTAAAATTTTGAGTTTAAAAATCTACCCAAAAGTATTTCACGATCCTCACCAGTGCAATGGAGTACATGCACCGCGCTAAGATTCTTTAGACTCAGGCTTGAGTTAGAAGTAGAATGGAGCACCTATAAGTTACATCCGTGAGCCATAATGATGAACCGTCGAACAAACATAAACATTCACACAATACTGTAGACCCCTTAAGAAGTTTCTTCAGTATCATTTTCTTGTGCTGTGTTAATGAGTTTGGTTTCTTCACGACTGGCGGTTATCACCACAATGTTCTTCGATGAAAGCAGTAGTGTTACCTGCAGTTTACAAGTAATAAACGGCCTGCACAGCTTTACAAGTGAAATGATGCCAGAAGAGTAAGACATTTACCTGGGAACATGAAGCAATGACAGACTTTGGCAAGCCTGTAGATGGTGCCCAAGCCACATCTCGAACCCAGTCACTGTGACCTTCAAGTTTCTGATCCTCAATCCACTGGCCATTATCCTCTCTAAAAAAAAAAAATCATCATTTGTCACTGAACTGAATAAGATACTTTACAATAACAGCAATCAGAAAACTAAAAGGATGTAAAGTTGAAAAAAAAAAAGACTTTTTTTTCAGGTCTTAATGTATCCTAGTGTAGTGATATACTTTTACTGATACATTTTTTGCATATTCTTCTTTTGAGTTTGGCAGGTTGTGTACTCTGTTGAAAAATCATCGTTGTTCATCTATATCTGGTCTATAGTTTTGTTCCAGGACATGAGTGTGGCGAGCACAATCATTTTACAGACCTGGCTTATTTCTGTGCAGGCTGTTGGTTCCCCAACTTTCAAACAGATAAACTCTGACATAAAAGGAAATATAATCCTATCTATGTTGGCCAGACCCCCAGTAAGGGAACCTGTTTATAGGATGAATACAGAGAAATGTAGACTGTTTTCGGCCATGGCACTGGAGCACCACTTCTGATGGAGGTTCAGTTCTGCTTTCTAGTCAGTATTTAATGGGCAACAAAGGATGCCAGTTAAAAATGGTAAAATACAGGTTTCAGGGATCATAACAGATGTTATTTCCTCCCCCAAATTTGTTTCACATTTAAGTGGTTGTCTGCTTACTATCCATTACTAATCATGATGATACGGCTATCATCTTGTTGTCTTAAATTTTTGTTTTTTTTCTTTAAGTTTTATTGGCTGAAGTAAATTTTGTTAAGATACAGCAAAATTTATTCCAGTGTTTAGAACCAGGGTGAGATTAGTTCTAATTTTTTTTTAAATCTCTTTATGTTGTGCCTATTTCCAGGATAGGTTACTAGGAGGTGGAGACAAGAGAGTAATTATAACTGTCTCAAGAGGTCCTTTAATGTTCTGCTTCCATTCCTTAATAAATTTGGTATTTTTGTAGGAGAACTAAGACTTACATCCAGATCTTCACCAAAAAATCGCAGCCACCAGAAACTAATTTCTTTAGTGTTTGCTGTTGTCCACTCTGTGCATCAAACAGAGCATTGGGTGGTGTCGCTGGGGCCCAACTTACAGCATTGCATCCAATCTGCAAAATAAAGAAACAGAAATCATTACAGCATTCAGATTAATTTATTAAAAGTCGAGAATAGTGACTTTACTGCACTGAGTTTTATCCCATGTGGCTCGGTCTCTCTTATCAGTTTCTCTACCCAACTACAGAGAACGTCAAACAGACTACAAACTCTGCAACTAAAAAGATTTAATTGATCACATGTTATGTGAAAAAACAACACATATAATACTACCCTCTCTTCACAACATTCTGATTAATTGATCACATGTTAGATTCAGAAACAAATACATATAAAAGTACTCACATCACAGCATTCAGCTTAATTTATCACATGTACTATCACATGGGAGAACCAGTGCAACACAGTGACTAACATGCTGACCTACAAACTAATCCTCAATAAACGAGCACGGAGTATAACATTCTCAAGGTTCTTTTTTTTTTTTGCAACACTTCAATTAAAACTGTCTGCAAGGCTGTACAAGTCAAATGATGCCATAAAGTTAAGATATGTCTGCACAGATGTACAAGTCAAATGATACCAAAGGACTAGGACATGTCTGCACAAATGATACCGTAAGACTAGGACATGTCTGCACAGATGTACTAGTACTACAGTAACAACTGATTAAAACTAAACAAAGAAATTAATATTTTCTAAGTGAAACACAAAATCAACTTTATTCAAAAACTATCTGTTTCACCAAATCAAACGGAAGGTGAAGACCATCTCCTTTTGTCTTTATAATTCTGGACTAAACCGGTTTATAGCGGTTGCTTCCAAAAATCTCAATAACCTGCAGTTGGTTGAGGTATAAATAATTTGAAATGCATTGTCCTTGTTTAAAATGTACCCAGAATTCAAAATATGGCATGCAATGGCTGACAGCTTTTTTCGACCAGTCACCTGATTTGTTGTCAATGTAGTATGCATCTGATGAAATGCAGTAAAATATGCCAAGCAATAAATTGTTCAATCTACAGTTTGCGTCTTCTGTGTTCAAATTCACAATGGAGAAATAATACTTTGATTCTCATACTACTGTCCGATTATAAAACAATATAAACTGTCTACAGTGGTAAATGAACCTTATTATTATTATTGTTCTTTGCATTCACAGGCTCTAAACTCCAGTGGAAAGTTCTGGTTGATCCCCCACCTCCTGACTTTAGCCTTGTTTCAGAAACTTGAGTCTCAAAACTTCAATCCTGCCATAAGTGACAATAAAGCACAGAGTAGTTTCCGTAGATCCAAAGTTTTACTATGGTGATCAAAAAATTATTTCAAACTTATAATTCGTCCATCTGCATACAATTACACAAATGAAGATACAAAATTAGGATGCTTACTGTGTGAGCATTGTTGATTTTCTTTGTGTCCCATGTGCCATCACCTGAAACAAGATTTTTTTTTTATATATAAAAAGATTACACAATTTTATTTTTAAAGTCTTCACAATATACTCAATTCAATGAGTATGCAGATATTAGTGAAATAAAACTCTTCAATCGCCTGATATTTGATATTTTGATGAAGAAGGTGTCGCCTATATTAAAATAAATAAATCTATATCTGCTTTTCAGTTTCTTTTGGCACTGTCATACCACAGATAGCTCTAGCTAGATAGGACAGGCACTGGTCAATGTAGGTTGGCAATCTGACCAATGCTGTGTCATATAAAGCCATCTGACAGCACCAGGATATCAGCAAAGAGTGAAAGTTACCTTGGACCAAGGGTGTTGGGAATGGATAGCTGGTGAAACAGTCAGAGGTGCAAGAATTGATCAATGCGAATTCACGCCCAGGTGACATCATAATATATACAGATGGGTCTGTAGTGGGAGGTGAGAAGAGTGGGTAGGGTTTTTGCAAAGCTGAATGGACACTATTTGAAGAAAAAAAAAAGAGCTGTGTACAACGTCACTATGTCTAGTTTGAGTTTTGAGGTGGAGGTATTAAAGGCAGCTTTCCGATGATTTGACAGCAGCAAAGCCCGGAGTGTAATTGCAACAGACTCAGACAGCATGCTCGGGAAAATTTTAACGGCATCATGCGCACAGAGTGGCTTGCATCACTTTATAATATCCAGATAAGGAACATACAACAGATTTTCTGTCCAGGATTTTCAGGTAACAAACAGGCTGATAAATTAGCTGCTGTCATTCCTCTGGATAGGTGGCTATTTTATGATAAAGCAGATGTGGTGAATATTCTAAAGGATCAAATGGACAGTGTGACAGAACAGATGGAGAATCCATACACTGAAAAACTAATTTAAAAGGGGTTTTTGTAGAGGGTCAGGAAGATATTCAATACTGAAGAGTAAATAATAAAGGCAGATTTTTGATCAGGTTGCAAATGGTACGAAGATGGCTATTGAAGATGGGGATGGAGCATATGTAGGAATTTCCCGAGCGCAATGATATCAATTCTTGACTCAATCACTCATTCATTTTATTTTTATGTGATGTTCACTGTGTAATTGTTACTTTAACCCATCCATGTTGTTTGTTCATAAAATGGTGTATTAAAACTCTTGATTGCATAAATTTCAACAATTTTATAGCTACGATAAGTACGCTTTAAAATACAATAAGGTTAGGACATTTATTTAATAACAATACCAGAAGAATAACTCTATGAAGTATAGATCAACTCGCTGGGGATAAAGCGAATGAACAAAACAAAGAAGTGGTTCTTTCAGGCTTATACAATGGCTGCAGCCCAATATGGAGGATAGGCATGGCAGAATATTTAGCTTATTTTTTATTTTTGCTCCTGACAGCACTTTGCTAATGCAGTTTCTACACATAGATGCAAGTCTACGGTTTTGCTGCCTAACCTACTGAGTTAAGTGCATGATGCAGCACTATAAGATGTGTTTTTCATGTGGGATGCCTTTCATTTGTGCAGTGGTTGTGAATGACTACTATCAAGGATAAACTGCATTTCTGGTGAGGACAGTTGGTGCTGGTGCCTGTAGCAGCTGCCTTATATACATTTACTGTGAGTGCATATTTCTGGATTGTGTCTGGGTTAACTGCTTGTTCACCATTTGTTCAAACAGGAAAGTAGGAACACTTTATTTGATTATCACTGGCACAGGAGTGGAGCACGTATGGGATGACCCATTTGTAGTGACACTGAACCTCGACTACTACTACCACTGTTTCTTTTGTCTAGTATTTCCGCATCTAAGGAAAATCAAATATAATTTGATTTCCTCCTTAAACTGCAATAGTCTATGAGTAATTGAATATATTTTAATAAGCACAGCTATGAATATTCTACAGACAGGTCAATATGCAAGAAGTTGCACATGGGTATGTCATTTGTGATAGATGATTTCTGATCAACAAGAAAATTTGCATAAGAGAACGTGTTCTTTGAAATAAGACTTGGTACAAAGATCATTAAATATTTTACGCACTCAAGCACTTTGTGCACTTCCCAAAATCTGGGACTCTGTTTACTGAGCAGATTTAAGAGAAGTTCCACTCTAGCTATTCAAAAATGCCTGGGCAGTCTTGACCTTCAAACACCTGTAGAAAGTCATATGAGAGAACTCTGCTTGAGAGATGGTGAACCAACAGTCTGCATACAAATAAGCTTGATTTGTAATACGGATGTGGTATGTAACACCCAGTTTCTGCATCAAGGCCAAAGTCTAGAAGTGGATAAACTACTAGAACTTTCCCCTGGGATTTTACATTCGGTGAATATTAAAAATCTGAAAAATGTGACAATTAACTACTGATGACTCACCTGTACTAGAAATGATTGAAATGGACCCATCAGAGCTGCCACATGCCAGCATGAGACCATATTGATGGGGGGCAAAACTGACCGAGTTTACTGAAATATAAAACAGTGTCAAATGATATAAAATACTTTTAGTAAATATGTTAAGCTGTATAATATATATGGTCAGTGTAAAGATCTTTGGTTCTTCTTAATCAGGTGTAAACCCCAGTGGAAAGTTTTGGTTGTTCACCCACTTCTGAAATTTATTCTTGTTCCAGAACCTGAGTGTTCACACAAATTCATTTTACAGGTCTGGATTATTTGCATGCAGACTGTCGGTTCCTCGTCTCCGGGGCAGACATACTCTGACTTCAAAAGAAATATCCTTCATTAGTCGACTGTTACGACATATTTGTTAGGGGCCAGTGGGTCGATTCTGTTTGCTCACAATGGTGCTCCAGAACCCACACAGAGAAGATCTTGAGTTCGATTCAACATAATGTGGATTTGAAAAAACAAAAACTGACCTGCTCTCAGATTGACCCAGCTGAAGATGGGTATTAGGAAATGTCATGGAAATTAAGGTGGCCAGCGCGATGTTAACTGCATCGCCCATTGAGTGCCGATTGGCTTAAAACAATAGGAGTCTAGCAGTCTATGACAGATGAGCTACTGGCATCAAAACGGTTCTTTACTTAACACAATACGATGTCATGATGTTAATTATTATAACTGAAAATTAGTTAAGCGGTTAATTTATCGTTTTAATCAATGTGTTTAGCCAGACTCAATAAAAACCAATGTTAAAAAGAGGTTTGAAAAAAATGTTTAATTAAGTTTATTTACTATTAATCTGATTAGTGCCATGGCTGCATAAAACAGTACCAGGGTGAATCCCTAGTACATCCAGGAATTATCGCACTGTTGTGTGAGTGCTTGTAAATATGCTGCCATTAGTATAGTTCTTGGGATCCTTAAAGAGAGGTCAGCCCCCTCCACCAATTTATACAAGACATAAAAAAAAGGATTCAATCTTGAACACAGGCTGGAGTCTGTTAATCAAACATGTAAATCCTGAGAAAGAAACATTAACAAGATTAGCCTAACCCCATCCATTTGTGTGTGCTGTTTTGAATACAAATTGTCCCTGTGTGGGTTCACATTTTTTGGGGAAGGGGGGGGGGGGGGTCCAAAGAAGACCAGAATAGATCCACTGCTCCTTAACAAGTGTGTCGTAATAGGTAAATAAATTAAGGATTTGCTGAAAGTAGAAGTGTTGGGTCAAACTGAACAAATATCATAGCCTAGCTGTAAACCACAACACAACATGTCAACTGCCATTTTGGGCACGAATATGGAAGAAGAAAGGTCTGCTTGTTTCAGAACATGGAGAAATAGAACACTGTCTCTACTTACCTGTTGTAGTGATGGCAATATGGTACAACACTGAGAGAAAAAAATCTCAGCGTTAACCTTGCCACAATAAATATTTTTACAGGGCGACAGACATAAAAGTTACAGCCAGTTATTCAAGAGGATTCATCAACTAAACAACAAATCACAAACACCTGCAGCCCCTAAGTATTTATTCGTAAAAGGTGAATAATCAAAGGTGGCTGATGGTAGACATTATAACCAACCTCTCATGAGAACAATCAGTAGAAGTACCTTGGAGTGGCTGCTGCATCAGAGGACTGAGCACACAGGGAAATGCCCAATGTGCAGTGACGTTGATTATGATAACATAACATATATATTTATTTTTCCTACTGCCTCGTTAAAGACTACCCACCTGATGAATCGTGATGAGGGTATTCATACAGCTTCCCCCATGTCCCATTGGTCTCCTTCCAGATGATCACCTTCCTGTCGTAGCCACAAGATGCCAACATATTTCCAAATGTAGGGTGTGCCCATGAAAGCTGCCACACGGGGCCTTCATGTCTGTGAATAATAACAAGTACACAAAAACAAATAAAACTGCTTTTCTTTCTACTGAAAATGAAAAACAACAAATTACAAACACTATACACCTGTTTGATGTTCTACATCCCTGTTTGATGATGGTATAGTTCTATCTGACGTTGAATGTCCACTAGATTTGATTGCCTGCCTTCACCAGGGAGAGTGAAAGAAAGTCTTATTCTCCCATCCTCTCGGTCTCTACCGCTGCCCTGTATGTAGGCCTAGTGGAAATAGGGGTCTAACTAGAAACCTTTATTTAATATCCTGTCTTCCACTTTATCTTTGTCTCAACTGCTGCTATATTTTTAGTAGAAAGAAAAGCAGCTGTATTTAGTCACTGTCTCTAAGTGCACCTGAGGTATTCCCTGTAATTCTAACACCAGTTTTAACAGTTTAGGAGACAAGTGTACTGTCTCAAAAACGTATTAATATGGGGTTTCAAGGAAGATAACAGCAAAATTAAACACTGTATTCATAATGGCAAATGAAAATGTAACCTGTGTATTGGTCATGGCTTTGGGTGTGTTAACACTTCATATATGATTGACACACAAAATACAGAAAATGTTTGTGATTTATAGCATAGAAGTCTGATGGTCTAGTCTTGTCTGATGATCTATACTACTGATTGATTATCTATAGTCCTGTCTCATGATATACCTCTCTGATGAGAGAGATATTGGGGTGGGGGGGGGGGGGGGGGAGACAGCCAGAGAGATTTCTGATATCATAAAATGGAGGGAAAACATGCATGATATCTTACCCCCTAAGTTGTGTGATAAGTGTCTGCTGTCCACCAGTAACATCAAACAGCTTGATGCAGCGATCGGAAGAACAAGTGGCAAGTTTAGTCCCGTAATAGTCCAACTGTGCATCATGCTAAACAAAAATTAAAACATCACATTTAAAAAAACACAATAAAGCACGTGAATTTTTTTCACAATAATGTGTAAACAGTATTCAATTAAGTGTTAAAATGTATAATACATAATGTGTCTGTATATATATATATATATATATATAAGAACAAATTTTTAATAAAATGTCTGCCCTTAGAGTGAATTATTCAGCTTTTCCTTTCTGTATTTTAACTGCCAAGGGTTTTCTAATATGTATAATATGCATAGAGGTCTTCAAAGTATTTCTAACATTGTAGTATAAATACCAGGAGCAGCCACAATGTAGTGGCTAAATGAACAACTGCAAATCCGAAGATCGTTGGTTTAGGTCCCGACAGAGCCAGACTTTTTCATTCTTCAAAAAAACCCTTGGCTAGCAGGTCAAGCCAGCTGTAAAGGGATGCTGGGTAACAATCCTAGGTGACATAAAGGTGGCCAGCATGATAATGACATCACCCACCGAGTGCCGATTGGTCCACACCTTGTATAGGTCAGGCTCTATATGCCTGATACGCCTGGCATAGAAATGGTTCCTTTACTTAGTGAAAATATGACATATTTGTGGCGACACTGGACAAACTGAAGGACCAAGACAGTTTATTAACTACAACTAACAACACACCATGTGTGAATGGATATTAATCATCTGTATCTATCAATTAGTAATTTATGTTTTCACATCTTTTTTACATTTAGCCAGTCCATGCTAAAGTACCCTGGTCCTACAGGCCAGGGGTTGAATTTTAGGCAGATACCCATTCTTTGTTTATCGTCTCACTGACACCAGGTTGCATGTAGCCCAGTGTCATGGTTTTCTGAATTTATCTTCTACTTCTCATGCACCCTGGGTGCTAGCTTTTTAAAAATCTTCTTGCAGGTTGCATCTATATAATTTATCCATTTTTTGTCTTCCTTTCGCTTTCCTCTCAGATGTTCTGCTGTAAAAAACCTTATATGCAGTTTGGTGTGGCTGCATTCTCGCTAGATAGATGAACCATTTTATTCTTTGTTTATCAGTATAATTAAAACCCAGTCTTATTCCAACCTTTTCTCCAATGCTGGTATTCTTAACATTGTCCATTCTTGTATTGTTAGTGACCTTACGGAGACAGCACATACCACAAGTAGTTATTTTCTGTTCCAGTGCCCTATTCATTGAGGATCGGCTGGCCGAATGGTTAAAACGGACTTCCAAGCGGAAGACCAATATTCAAATCCTCAGTAAGACTTGGGATGTTTTCAGCCAGGGGCAAAATAAAATCCTCACCTGCACAGTCATGGCGACAGCACTAGCCAAGCTGCTGTTAATCCTCAGGCTCAAAGACTCCCCCACCCGTCTACACCGCAAAGGTGTAAAATAAAGGCAGTAATTGGCCCTATTCATTGTCTATGTTTTGCACTGATAGTATAAAGTAGGGACGAAGATGCTATAAATCATTTGTTATTTTGCTGTGTGATGACCCTGCTTTGCATGGTCTCCACGATTACATTGTAGCAAGTAGAAAGTCCGTGCAAAAAGTGACAGCACGAGATACTTGTGGCTAGTCGAGTAAGCGAGGGGAAGCCGGAGCTAGACTCATGGTCAGTGGATCAACAGAAGTCGAGGAAGACGCTTGCGTTTGGTTGAAGAGGTCGTCTTTATGTCGCACGAATGGTTAGTGTTCGAATATGTCGCGAGTGATAGAAGTGTGAATTATTATTGAAGCATGGGGAATAAATGTAACTGAATAAACTGACAGCATGGACAAAGGAGCTGAGTGGAGTTTGTGTTTTCAACCCTAGATGTTAAAGTCGGTGTAAACCAAGAATCATGTCATGCTGAAAGGGGGCATTTGGGTGTCTTAGCAATATGGCTAGCTGGTAGGTAACAGCATTACCTTCTGTACTATGGCTTTCATCTCACTACTGAGCCTGCATCTTCCATAAATATGCTTCGTAGATATTTGAAATCTAGTACGCCTTATTGTAGTAGCAATAACATGAATCTTTATGATATGTCTCCTGTCTATTCTTATTATCTAAGTTTTTGCAGTGTTTATTTTCAAATCATACTTTGTGAAAGTTTGATATAAGAAGTCACTATAATATTGTAACTTTTTTTTTTGGTGGTATATTAGATGCTGATCATCTGCAAGTAGTTTATTGGTTTAGTGTCCGTATTTGCATCCTGTAATTCTATCCATGTAAGTAGTGAAGAGCAATGGCGAGGGAACACATCCCTGTCTGGGGAACCAATCTGTCATTCCTTATGTTCTTCAGTTTCTGTCTGCTCCCTGCAGAAAGCTTTACCTTTGTAAAACTTACTTTTGTCACAAAATAGATATATGAGCACAACAAAACTTATAATATGTTTAAATCATCACCAAATACTGGCTAATAAACTTTAATGGTTAAGGTATATAGCAAGAATAGCAGACACCAAAGATACACACAAGGAAATGGTGACAGACACTAACAGTTACCAACTGGAAAGAGAAGTCCAATCATAAAGATTTACTGAAACTGGTGATATCTGCAGCAATGATCCGCAAGGGTTTCGGAATGCCGGAAAAAAAGATCTGAAAGCACTATGACAACATTTTTTGTTTCCTACAAAGAGCTTCTATCTCGCCTTATGGGAAATGTAGGCCTATAAACTTAGTGTTGCCACTTATTTTTTCAGACACTATCACTTTCTGTACTAAAAGGGTTAAACAGTGAAAATATCACCCCACAAAAATGCAATTATATTTACACTATCACTACCAATACTTACAATCATATCTTCATGAGCAGTATCAATAGAGTTTATTACTGAAACCTGAAAAGAGAAATAATACTGGCTGCATAAACATCCTGTGACAAGCAACAATTCACATTGTGGTGTATCCTCCTCTGTGTATAGCATAAACTGTGTGTGTTAATTAACTGTTTTGATAACTTCAACTGTGTGTGTTAATTAACTGTTTTGATAACTTCATTAACACAAAAATGTAATAAATAATTGTGTTTTTCAAATCTAAGTTAGTCTTCTAGACTAAAATGTGGGCTCTCCTCCAAACTTCTACCCGATATTATGGCGGCAAAATAAATACCCTAACAGGGCCTTAGTTGTGTGTAAAATGCGGACTTCCTGCGACGAACACATAGCGGCAAAACTAGGATTACTTGACAATGTCACGACACGCAACAATGCAGACGATATGGCAACTGTTGACAATTTCAAGCGTTTCTGCTGCTGATACTAGCGACCATTTACAATTTCAAGACACGCAACATTACATACAATAATATGGAGATGGCGGGGAGACCACGTGCTCCGACGAAGATTAGCGAGTGTTCTTCTGATTAAACTCACCGTCAAGCATATCCCCAGAGCCGTGCGGATGGAGATCGAAACTAGATGCATGGGACTCACAAGCAAATAAATTGAAGGAAGTTGCAGGAGATGCGGTAGCTGCTGTCCGTGAGTCCCAGCCATCAAGTTTAGCCCCCCCCCCCATCTGCGCCGCGGGGGATACTGTCGGCCTTGCGGCATAGTCGCAGAAAAAGGTCTGCAATTAACATATCGCTGAGACATTGTTAAAGCATTTGTTTTGTTATTCGGAGCCAATCCTAGTTTTGCCGGAATTTGTTCCTCTGCAAGAAGTCTGCATTCTGCATAGGACTGAGGCCGTTAGGGTATTTGTTTGGCCGCCATATAATATCGGGTAAAAGTTAGGAGGAGAGCCAAAATGTGATAGCAAACAAAATAAATAGTAGTAGCACTGAAATATGTAAATATCCATTCAGTATTACACATTTTATCAATTGAAATTGAACTGCTGTTGGAATTGAATGTCTCCATCAAAGTAGAGAAGGCAAGGACACATTTTTTTTAAAATTAAAACCGGAAATACTGTGAAAAACTAACTAAAAACGTAATTTAAACTTCAATATTTTGAACATTTATATACATATATATTTAATTTATGTTGGCTGGTAGTGTTGTGTCAAATTTTTAATCAGGAGTAAATTGAAATAACATGATTCTCTTAATCATAATCTAAAAACTAATTTAGTAATGTATAATTTATTAATTACTAATAATGTATATTTATATTATAATATAATATGTGGCAGGTTTTTTCAAGCTGTTTCTTTTTTAGAGTTTCTTATAATTATCTAGAAGCAGTAGTAGAAGATTAGGGAAAGGACTGAGGATGTGCTCTGAGTCTCACCACCACACATTATAATATTCATTGTGATTGACACTGATTGTCTGTTTAAATTTAAAGTGTAGTGTTGCCAAAAAAAACGATGCATAAATAGTGCTGATACTGCGCACCACCAGAAAAAAAGTCCTAGTAATTAGAATTATTTGATTAAATTATGCATTCTTTTATAATTATTTAAACTCAATGATTAACTGATCCAGTCACTCAGAGATGGGAATGGACAATGAATGATCACAATGAGTTGAACTTGGACAATGATCAACCATGGCAAGAAAAACCTGACCAGCTAAGTAAGTTACGGTTGTAATCTCTCTTATTATTAATACTACTTACCATTCTGAACTCTTTACTGAATGAAAGTAGCAGAACTTGTGAACGTTTAAAGGAATCGTCCCGTCCTAAAACGACAAAAACACCAGCCAGATAATAATGTATCACTATTTTGAACGTGGCCAAAGAGGGTTAACTCTGACGTTGCTTGAAGAAGGACTCCCAGTTTCCGGTAGCACACAGGGGAAGCTACCAACAAATTGTTTGTATCCAAATGACTAGATTAACTCTCCTGTCTATGCAAAAAAATACCACACCTGTAAAGGAGACTCCCCGTGTGGGTTCCGGGGCCCCATTGAGAAGAAAACAAGAATAGACCTACTGCCTACCCAACAAGCATGTCGTAGGAGTCGACTAATTGGGGGCTTCCTTCAAAATCAGAGTGCACCTGCCTGACAGACAAGGAACAAATAGTCTGCAAATGAGTCAGAACTGTAAAACGGCTTTGCACACAACACTCAGTTTCTGGAACAGGATCAGAGTCCAGAAATGGACGAATAACCAGAACTTTTTGCTTGAGTTTACAGATAGTGAAAAAGAAGAAGAAGAAGAAGAAGAAGAAGAAGAAGAAGAAGAAGAAGAAGAAGAAGAAGAAGAAGAAGAAGAAGAAGAAGAAGAAGAAGAAGAAGAAGAAGTAAAGATGGCTTTTGGGACAATCAACACTCATAGCTGATGCGGTCAACATCACAGTCACCTTTTCTTCCCAGGACTTTACCTAATATCGATTTAGGTTAGCTTGACTTGGCGGTTTAAGTCCGTGTAAAAAATAAAATCCAACAGGTGGGTCGAAAGGGAAGCATCTAGCCATTACGCTACCGCGGCACCATAAAGCAGAAACAGTAACCAACTGATTATTTTAGTGCACTTGTAAAATCTTCTATTAAAAAAAAATAGTCCATCCCTTCTGTCTAAGTCATGATCATCATCATGTAGCAGGCCCTTTGCAGAACGTCGCTCTCATCACCGTCTGCGTGAAAGAAACTCAGTCGCCCACCAGCTCTCCCACCTCGTGCACTTTCATATGAAAGGCGTCACTTATATCATGTACTTATCTACGCGCCGGTCGGTCCCTGTCCATCCTTCTTTGTTTGAGTCCAATCCGCTGTGGCGCTTCACGTGACCAAAATATTTCAGCTTCCTATTTCTGTCTAAGTAAAGTAAAGTAAAGTAAAGTAGAGTAAAGTAAAGTAAAGTAAAGTAAAGTAAAGTAAAGTAAAGTAAAGTAAAGTAAAGTAAAGTAAAGTAAAGTAAAGTAAAGTAAAGTAAAGTAAAGTAAAGTAAAGTAAAGTAAAGTAAAGTAAAGTAAAGTAAAGTAAAGTAAAGTAAAGTAAAGTAAAGTAAAGTAAAGTAAAGGACCCTTTTCCCACGCTTTCAGGACTATTGGGCATTTAGGGCCATTCCTATATAAAACGGCACTTGGTCGGTGATGCGGTCAACATCACGCCGGACGCCTTTACTTTCCAGCACTGCATCTGGAACCCTTTCAAGTCTGGGAGCCAAGGTCATTTTTGAAGAAAGCCCTGTTGCGTCAAGACCCGAACTCACGACCTTCCGATCCGCAGGCGAGCGTCAAGCCGTTTAACGACGGCGACTCTCATTTCTGTCTAATTGCATTGACAATATTCCTACAGTTACTTAGTCAACTTGCGATTTAACCGATTATCGTCGTAATGGTTTCGTCAGGTAATGTTTGTTAAAATTAAGTTAAAAGTCGATAGAAATTACTTGATTGTATTGAAATGTATCTATTTTGGCTTTGCCTATCTCCGCAGAACAGATAGCACACCCCCCCCCCCCACCCCACCCACCTTTTTTTTCCGCCGAGAGCGGTGCACAATGCCCCGGCGTAGCCTTGGTGACGAACCCTGTGAGCCCTGACAACCACACACGTTAATTAATTGTTACGTTAGTTAACCCGTGTTTTAATATTTTCGGAAATCTACAGTGTTAGGGTGAAAAGCACAGATATCGCAGCCTAGCGATAAACAATGACACCAAGTGCTAACCGCTCTTTTTAATGGGGCACCATGAAGAAGAACAACTTGAGCCAAGTATATTAGTGTAATGACTGGACAGGTCACAGAGAGTTCAGAAAAAAATTTCATTTTTTGTAGGAATCAATAAACGCAGGATGAGTTTATTAGTATGGTATTCTATTCTTTACCCACCCACCCCCCCCCCCCCAACCCCCCACACACACACACACTTCGCTAATGTAATCCAGGTAGGTATTTAGGTATTTTGCTGGACAAAAATTGTCACGTTCAACCAGCATCCCCGAAGTGGGAGCTTTAGGTTATAATTGTGACTAGGTTATGTGCACCACATAAAATAGCTTAGTATTGCTCGCCACCAAGAGCCATGAGAAGGACTCCTGCAGTGTTGATGCGATCAAAGGACACAGACCCAAATACTGACCCGACATGCGACGAAGTCGTCAACCGGCGAGCCAATGGGCGAAGATGAAGATAACATTGTAAAACTAGTCTTTTATTATGAGGGCCTTCTGGAACCTAAAGAGGTAGATAAAACGGCTGCATCAAACACAAATGCACATATCTTAAGATTCGGACAACTGACAAATTAAGAACAGAAGACAAAAATAGCTATCAACCGGTTTCTTTCGGACACTCTCAGAACCCAAGCATGACTTCAATGCAGTAATGTGACACTGACTTCTATCACGCCATTGTTAGATGCCGCTTTCCTTTTAAAATAACACGCGGGTGTATTTGTGTGGTGAGTTTAATCCTCCTTATGGATGGTTTCGTCAGGTACGTTCGCATGACCGCAGTAACCATATGGAAACTGTTTCCAACGTTGTAAAATTGTGACGAAAAATGACACCAACGAAACAAAACTTTATTTTTGGTACACATATGTGTGGTTGATCTTCTTCTGCATAATATTTAACAGGAACCGTAAGTATGAACTTATAACATATCGTGTATATTTGTGTTATTTTAAAGGTGTTTTATTTTAAAAAATTAAAAAAACCATGTCAATTATTTACATTTCTATTTGACTCCCTAATTTTAGAGGGAAATATTCCAATAGAAGAGTGTTAGTGAGACCACCAAATGACATGATTAATATCGTCTCTTTGCCTTCTTCGACTTCTTATAATAATAATAATAATAATAATAATAATAATAATAATAATAATAATAATAATAATAATAATAATAATAATAATAATAATCTTGTTTGCGCTCCCCAGCTGTAAACTCCAGCGAAATGTTGTGTTGTTCGTCCACTTTTGGACTCCAGCCCAGTTCCAAAACCTGAGTGTTGCGTGCACATCCGTTTCACAGACCTAACCCACTTGTATGCAGACTTTTGGATGCACTCAGACTTCGAAGATTATGAGTTTTAGTGGCGAACTAGTGAAGCCGTTTGCCTCGAGATCTGAAAGTCGTGGGTTGTTACATGGACTTCGTCGTTCAGTTCACGAGTTTACGGAAATCCCCTGGGATTGTCGCTGGATTTACGGAATTAGTGCTTTTTACTCTCTTTAAGGCGGCTAGCCGTTCTGCGGAGAGAGGTCGAGCCAAATAGGATAAGATTCGATGTAACTGACTTATTTTCTTGACTTTAGTTAATATCATTAAATGGCCAAAGAGTATGTTGCATTTCTCTCGATATCTGATTTTACTTCTTCTTCTTCTGCGTTCGACATCAGTCATGCTAAACATTGAGTCCCGTCTTGGTCAAAAATAGGATTGTGCGTTTAAGGTCGCCACCGGTTTCCCATAGCTTCTCTCGCAATGTGGATCCCCTGGGCCAGATCCACAGTCTTTGCTGGGTGATGTAAGGGCAGTACTGCAGTGTGTGCTCGGGGGTCTGTCTTTCTGCTCCACAATCACAGGCAGCAGATTCTTTTATGCCTATCCTGTACAGGTGTGCTCTGATGTTTACTGACACCGTAGAAGGGTTACTCTTACAGTTTGAAACAAAGCATGATGTTTGATTAACTAGTTTCATTCTTTCTTTTGTCAATATCTGCTTATGGCGCTAGGCGTCGCAGTTCATCATACGATCGGCAGACGAGCCAGGGCGCGCTCAATCGCTTGATATGCCTCGATGTTATGCAGTCTAAAGGTATAAGTGACTCCTTTAATCCATATTCTTCTGGGTCTTCCCCTGCCTCTTGATGTTTCGAATTTCAGGTTGTACCCTCTTTTTGCTGGCATCATTGGTTTCATTCTTATTAGATGGCCAAACCATTTCATTCTTTGTTTCTCAATAAATTTGACGATGGGTGTTGTTCCAACAGTTCTTGTGATCCCTTTGTTTCTCATTCGATCTCTTCTGGTTTTATTCACAGCCATTCTCAAACATCTCACAGGTGGTTAGTTTTCTTTCGTGTTCTTTTGTCTGACATTGGTAACCTAAAGTAAGCATAAATATTGTATATATAATTTGTCTTTTTGTCTCTACTGGGATAGCAGGGTGTTTTACAATTGGAGCAGGTTGGTACGTGACATTGTTGGCTTGTTGGATTCTCGTTTCTATCTCGCTGTCTATTTTACCATTGTATGTAAAGATGCTTCCCAAGTATTTAAATGCTTGCACTTGTTTCAGACTTTGATCTTTATGTCGACGGTTTGTTGCTCTCTACTTATTCTTATGACTTTTGTTTTTTCAATGTTGATCTTCATGTGATGTTTAATGTAACTGTCATTTAGTTGCTTTATGTGGTCCTGCAGCTGTTTACTGTCACTGTGGAATATTCACTGATCGTCGACATATGGTGGTGTTATGTCTATTTTATTAATATTGTCCATGAATATTATAAAAAGTAAGGGTGAAAGAACACACCCTTGCCTTACTCCTGATGTTACTGGGAACGCGTCTGTGAGGCCAGCTCTTGTTTTGATGGCGCTTTCACTTTCTCTATAAATAGCTCTTACACAATCTAGCACTGATCTAGTTTCCTTCAATCCCAGCTAACGCGCAAATTAGTTTTCTAACTTTTAAATGTTGACTAGATCACACTAAATAAA